ACTACCCTCTTATAGAAATGACTAATTTATTTTAGTATAATAACTGTTGGCTAATAAGCTAACAACATATAATTTTTCAACAATTTTTTTTTTCTTCATTTATTTCAATTGTGCGTTTTGTATATTAGAATTGAGTAATTTTTACACATGTACTTTTATATAACTTACTGGTACCAAAGGGTACACAATCTTTCACAAAGTCAATGGTTGAAGTTCCAATATCAATAAATCTAAGTGTACATGAATATTGAGAGTTCAAATAAGAATGTTAAATATCATGAAAAGGTAAAAAAAGAAAGGTCAAGGGAAAGTTCATATGTTAATAATTGAAAAAATTCATTTGAAAATGTTGGAATCTAGAACGTCGGTTCATGTTGGAATCTCCAGATATATTCTTTTGGATTTTTTCCAATGGATTTACATATGAACATTTCATTCTAATTTATCAAGATATTTAGTTTTTTTTTATTTGAACCGATCCTTACATGAGTATTTATTGTATATAGATATTATAAACCTAAAAAAGCTAACTTATTAACTAACATTTGACTTAATAGTTTTGCCGGTCATAAACCAACATACATAAAACAAGGGACAACTTATGTAATTGATACTTAGGGGACATTTACTTACGACTTATTGAGCTTGGTTGTCTAACCGGCTTATTCGCACAACCAAAATAGAGCTTTTACTTGTGGCTTATTTGCACATATGGATATCCCATGTTGTACTTCAATCTAAAAAAAGACACCCTACCCCGTCATTAAACACACCAAATTTCTAAAAGAACTTGAACCCTACCCGATCTCCTTCACGATTTCAAGCTCTCTCCTCCAGCCAAACCGCAGGAATTCAATCTCTCTCCTCTAAAGCGATTCCTGCACACTTGATTTCTCCATAGGTAACAATTTCCTTCACGACTTTGCATGGTTTTTATCTACATCGTTTTTCTTTATTTCTCCTCTAAATCGATTCCTTTATCAATTTCTGTCCACATTGATTTGATATCGGTTGACTTTTTTTTTTCACTGTTGTTGTTGTAGCATTTCTTCTCCATTGCCTTTACCACGAGGGGAGTTGTTGTTTAGATTAGCAAAACCACCAATTCAAATGTTTATTTTGCAGTTTCACGAGTGGTGCTTGCTTCTGATGGAGCCCTTCAACTGTTTGATGAAATTTCTAGCCCAATACTTTTTATTCAGTTTTTTATTTGGGAACCTAATCTGATAGGTTTTCAATTGTCTATATTGATTTTTTGGTTTCGTTGATTCTTTGATTTTCAGATGATATCAATAAATTTATGATTTTTATGTGTTAGAAGTTTATCTTTTAGAAGACGGGAGATGTAAACCATGAATCTGATAAAATGAAGGGTAAAAATAAAACAATCATTTCTATTGTTTAGACTATTGATTTAGATAAAAAAAAACAAAAAACAACATCAATTTATCCATACAAATAAGTTTATCCATACCGAACTTAATAAAAAATTTAGTAAATAACTCCTTTAACATAGTAACCATTCATCCAATAAATTAAAATGCCCACATTCTTATTTGAATATTTAATATTTTTGTTTTATGTTAGTCTAAAATGATATATATATATATATATATATATATATATACTTTTAAGTTGCTTTTGGTGTTCCGTTAAAAGAGAACAAGACGGAACATAGGCATGAGAATTGGACCTGACCCGTCGGGGAACTCGGTCCACTCGCCCCGGTCGGGGACGGGGATTCCCCGTTAAACCGGGTCTTGGGGCCGGGGATCCCCGTTTGGCTCAAACCGGGGATGGGGACGGGGATGAGTATCACACTCCCCGCCCCGTCCCGCCCCATATATATATATATATTAATTAATTATATTATATATTATTTATTTATATTAAATCGGTAAATGGTAATTTCTATTTCAATATATTTTGGATATTACTCAATATGTTTTGGTACATGTGATGTTAATTTTTTTAGATTAATTTTTTTGTTTTGTTTTCCATTGTTAATTATTATATAATGATGTATATTTTTTGTATTAAATTAAATTTCTTTTGATTTTAGGTTTATTGGAAAATATGAGATTTAAATATGTGTAGCGTCTCAAACATTTGATTTAATTTTTTTTTACACAAACATGAAAAAAAAATCTCCGTTTCCCCGTTGGGGATATCCCCCCGTTGGGAACGGGGATGGGGATATGATCAAAATCCTCGGTGGGGATGGGGACGGGGATTGGGGTCCCCGCCCCATTACCATTCCTAACGGAACATGACAGAACAAGATAAGACAGTTGTTCAATATTTTGTAAAAGAGAACGGAACATGATAAAACATATAAAATGACCAATTTATGTTGTTTATAATTTATTAAATTATAATAAATAAATATTTTGATAACAAAATGTATTATTAGAAAGTTTTCTTCAAGACGATTAAAACAATACATTTTTATTTTATACCTTTTGTATATTACTTTTTTATTATTAATATTTAACAAATTATATAATTAACCAACATATAGAAACCATATAAAAATAATATTTTGAACACAGACTAAAGTGAAAAAAAAGGTACAATAAATAAAATTTAAATGACTAATAAAATGTAAAGAGAGGGACCTATTTGATATTTTAGAAAATAATTCTATTTTATTTTTAGTTTATACTAGTTGTGTATCCGCGCAATGCGGCGGGAGCCATGAATTTTAACGATTTTAAAGTTCCACTGGTTTTATAAGATAAGATTTAACGATGATATATGTTAGACTTGGTCTTTACATATTAATACAATTTGAATAAATAAGAGTTATGATTCAAATTACAGACTATCGATGGAAAAAATTGTATAACAGTTTAAAATCCAACATATTTAAACGACTCCACAAATGTGTTCGATTTACACCAAGAGCAAAGAACCAAGAAACTTGAGTTTTAAGATAAACACTCAAAACCAATAAAGAAAACTACAAATTTGATAGATCATAAGCCATGAAAAGACCAAAAAAATGGGTTTTAGAATGAAATTTCAACTGCTTAGTCTCTTTCTTGTCCAGAAACTCGGATTAAGGTTGAATTAATACATGTGTATATATATATATATTTAAAAAAACCCAAGAACATATTAATTCAAAATATATTATACAGTACAATTTGGACAGCCTAACCCCAAAATATATAGTATATATAAATAAATAACTATAAAAATATAAATCGTAAATATTAAAAATATTTTTTCACAGTATATATAATATATAATAATATAATTAAGTCAAAAACTATTCAATATTGGACTCATTTCGAAGTTATTAACGAGACGATTATTATGGTGTAACTTGTTAAAATAAAAATATATTTTTTAAAAATGTTTTAATGAATATACGGTTATGTATGTTAATTTGATAAAAGTTTAAAATGAAACATTTAAAAGTAAAAGACGTAAAGTAAATTAATTAACTAATTATAAAGATATATAAAATGTAAATTTAAAATTATAATTTAAAAAAAATTGGTTGTGAGAGGGTGAGTGTATGTGAGGAGAGGATGGAGTGAAAAAGTCAAAAAATATAAAGGGTATCTTGGTCATTTAGTATTTTAAGACTTTAAGACTTTTGTTAAATTTGCTTAATAAGATAGTATAGAAGTATAGATTAGTAAAACACATGTCTGTTCCAGCTTGTTCCACGGGGTGAGAATGAAATACATCTATTCCACTTTGTTTTTGTCTCTTACCATTATTCTTTTTGTAGTGACAATCTAGTATCCATCGTTTACTGTTAGGACTACTCGGGTGCTCATTCAATGAACATTCTCAATATTATGCCTTGAAGAGGACTCACATAAAAATCATGTTAAATGTGGAATAGTGATCTATTTGTTCTATTTTTTTAGTGTAACAAACACACCCTTAAAAGTCTACTAAGATGTTAATTAAAATTTAATTATGATTTACTAGAAGTGTACTCGCGCAATGCAGCGAGATACATCTTGATTTTAATATTTCATTTTATTCTTTATCTCAGTCGATGTTATGATATGGTCTTATGTGATTTTGAAAAAGTGATAATGTTTTTTATTTTTGAATAAAATACAAATTTGAAGATATCATAAAAATTTGACAAAAATATATCGATATTACTATCAAATTAACTATTTAAAATTCCCATTTTTGTGTAATTTTTTAATTCAAAATTTTTATTATAATTTAATTTAGGTTCAATAATGAAATAATTTATATTTGGTTTAATAATATAATTTTCTTATAGAGATAATAATTAATTATTTTGTTAGAACTCGATAATTATTCTAATTATATTTTAGATTTTTTAGATTTTAAAATGAGATGTTTATTTTTTATTTGATTATGTTTATCTGCAGTTAGTTGCACGAATTCAAACATGTAACTTTAATAAGTTGTATTTATGCATAATTTACTTGTAATATTGGATTTTAAGTAATATGAATCAATAAACAATACTTCATGCATAAAAATTTGTTTTTAAAAGTTTTTTTTAAATACTTTATAATATAGTATAGATATGTTATTCATTAAAAAAAATTAAAATTTCTGAAAAGAAAATAAATTATATTTCTATAAATCTTTTAAATGTCATTTTCGATAAATAAAAAACCTTAAAAATGGAATAGACATAGAGGAAAGGCAGCCAATACGAGCCCACCGGCAAGGCCACACCCAATATACATTACGTATACGAGTATGATACTGAGTTGGTCCTGGTCCCTTTCCATATCAGATTCAGAGTAAAGAAGGTGCATCTTTTATTTATTTATTTATATATAATTCTTTAATGCTCTGGGGAAAAGATTTACCATAATTTTTTAACAGCTGCAGTGGCGGTGGTTAATCATCAACAGCTCTGTTTTTCATGCAGGCGTGGGCATAAATGCAGGACCTTTGCCATTAGCAACCTTCTCTTTCAGTTTTCCTTCAAACACCCATTTCTCTTTCTTTCTTTCTTTCTTTCTTTCTTTCTTTCTACTACTATATTACCCTTGCTTTTTTTCCCAACAAAAACACACATTTACACCATAAAACACACACTTATCTCTCAAGATTTTTGTGGGTCTTCTTTGAGGTCTGGGAAAAGCTACAACAGGAAGAGGGTTTGTTTGAACCAAATTCAAGAAAAAGATTTGTGTTTCTTTTTTTCTCTGCTTTGCTTCAAGTGGGCAGTGAAGAGTACCAAAAGTTGCTCAGATTCTCTGAATGGGGTATCTTTTTCTCTTCCTACTTTTGGTTGTGTGTTTTCCTCCAACTAGGGTTTGGTCAGAATGAATCATGAAATGGATGGAGGGCTTATTTATGATACTGAATCAATGTTCTTTTTCTCCTGTGCCTAAATTAACTGCTCCCTGGACACTTTTCTGAGCTCTTTAATGAGTTTTCTCGTCATTGGGGAAGCATCTCTTGTATAAATTAGGGAGTGTTTAATTTTACCCATTTCAATTCCAATGATCCCTTCGGGAACAGTGGTGTCTATCTTTAATTATTAATTTTCTAACCTTTTGTTTCTTCACTCTCATAAATTTTAAGTTGGGGTCTCCTTAATTACTTCAATTTTCTCATGGTACAGTTGCTTTTGTAGTTTATTCAGCTTCATCTAAGTTGTTGCTTTGATTTGGGGCTTTAATCATCTGGGATTTTCTTGTTATTGGAGTTGATTGTGTATATTGCTTGAAAATTAGGGCTTTTTTTCTGGGCGGCCAATCTTTTGTGATTTTGACCTTTTTCTTGGGTTGTTTGTGAAAAAGAGAGACGATATATGGCTGGGGAGGATGAAATTGAGGGGGGAAACAGAGATGAAGAACAAGTACATTTCCATTCAGCCAATTTATCCTCAGATTGGCCATTTAATGGCCCTAATGATCTTACAAATACATCAATGAGCATGATTACCTCAAGCAACCCCATGAACAATACTTCTTGTTCTTCAGCTCCTATGATTGACTCCTTTTGCCATACTGCTCCCACCGTTTGGGATCATCATCCAACAAATTCACAAAACCTAGGAGCTTTCTGTGACATGAATTTGCAAAACAATGCCGCCACTTCATCATCCTCACTTGGGTTCAGAAAAGGAAATCTTGTCCCTGCAAGAAATCTTGACATGTGTTGGGCTCCAGCAAATTCCGCCATAAAAAGGGGTGGGATGTTCTTGCCACCGGCTGCTTCCAACATTCTTCCTCACAGCTTATCTCAATTTCCAGCTGATTCGGGTTTTATTGAGAGGGCAGCCAGGTTGTCATCTTTCAGTGCAGGTAATTTTGAAGATATGATAAACCCTTTTGGCAGTGTACCTGAATCATCTCTGAGTCCTTATTCTAGTAGGGCTATGCAAGGCCAGCCACAAGATGGTTTTGTAGGGAACGGGTTCAAATCGGCATCTGCCCAAGGATCTAAAGATATGCCCCTGGTTGTTGACTGTGGGGGGGCCAATGATGGAAGTCAATCTAAGAATGAAAGGCAGAGTGAGAGCTTTGTGAGGTCTGTTCATGAAGCAAAGCAAGGTGGATCTGGTTTCTCCGGAAATAATGTGGCCAGTGAAGCTGAATTTAGTGAAGGTGGTGGTGGTCAGGATGATAATTCTAATGAGGGACTTGACTCAAAGAAAAGGAGAAGAGGTGATCAGGTATGTCTTAATTGCCACTTATCTTGATCCAAGATTTCTCATTCTCATACTGGCATGTAAAACCTAGTAAATCTTTTAAATTTGATCTATAAACTGTTGTCATATGGGATTCTAGTTCTGTTGATTGAGATGAATTGGTTGAATTAGAATTCTTGGGGGTGTTAAAATAAACTGCATTCTGCTACAAAATAACAGGATACCGATTACAATCAAGTCAAACGATCTCCACAAACACCTAGTGAAGCTACAAAGAACAACACTGAAGTTCAACAAAAGGGTGACAACAATCCAAATTCGGTTGCTAATAAGTCGAGTGGGAAACATGGTAAGCAGGTGTCGCAATCATCTGATATACAGAAGGAAGAGTACATTCATGTAAGGGCTCGAAGAGGCCAAGCTACCAATAGCCATAGTCTTGCAGAGAGAGTAAGAGAGTTTCCTTCAATATTACTATTATTGTTGATTATGTAGTGAATGATGTAATATTGGTCTCGATAGTTAACTTGAACCGTTTTGCAACCATAATAGGTGAGGAGGGAGAAGATCAGTGAACGAATGAAGTTCCTTCAAGATCTTGTCCCTGGATGCAGCAAGGTAAGTTAATTGAATCATTAATGGGTTTGTCTACGGCATCTTGAATTTGTATGGAACAAAGGTTTGTTGCATTTTCTTTTCTCATTTCTGTTGAATGTTTTTTAAGGTCACAGGCAAAGCGGTTATGTTGGATGAAATCATTAACTATGTACAGTCACTACAACGACAGGTTGAGGTATGATGACCAAAAAACATATGTTGATTGCTAAATTTTGAACTTTTGGTGTGAAATATAAGTTCCATTCCTGCAGTTTTTGTCGATGAAGCTTGCTACTGTTAACCCTCGGATGGATTTTAACATTGAAGGGCTCCTTGCAAAAGATGTAAGAGGTGTTTTAACATTATACGGTTTTAAGTCGTCCTATAACATGCATTGACGGTTTATTCCACTGGGCGTACTTTTGAGGCAGATGCTTGAATCACGAGGGGGGTCTTCTGGTACACTTGGGTTTGGTCCGGATATGGCTATGCCTTATACTCCAAATTCATCACAAATGGCAATCATGCAAGGCGGACTTTCTGGTCTAGGAAGCTCTTCAGATGCAGTGCGGAGAACAATCAATTCCCATTTGATGGCTGTTGGAGGTTATAAAGATCCTACATCCCAGGTGAGTTGCCATTGGTTATCAATGCCTGAAATTGTGATTGCCTAATCCTTGTACTGTACTTTAGGAAGTTGTTCGAGTATTTGTCAAATATCTAAGATACCCTTTAATGGAAGACAGATTAGTAGAATCTTCTGGACAAAAATGAATCATTCGGTTGGTTCTTAGGGATGATGATGGACAATCAGTAATCTTGACGTGAAACTTTCCACGAAAGGGAAATGTCCATGGAATGGAGGAAGTATGCAATTTTTAATCCTTCTTTCCCAAGAAAATTGCAGAGATAAACATCAAACATGTAAAACCGTTAATTAGAGACAACATAGACGACTCTTGCAGATCCAAATGTGTACCTTTGGTTTGTATGTAATGGTGATGATAGGCCAGAAATAAGTAATTTTAGCATGAGAACTTTATCAAAACGGAAGTGTTGTAATTTGCCTCTGAACAAATGCAACTTATAGCTTATCTTTCGACACATTAGAGAAAAAAAAAATCTACCTCGATCTCTTCTACCATGAATTATATACTGTGTATCGGTTTAACATATTTTCCAAAGACAGGTACCTAGTTCATGGGACGACGAGCTTCACAACATTGTCCAGATGGGATTAAATCCTAGTACCCCCATCAGCAGCCAAAATTTAGGTACTTTACTGGAAGATATATTTGTATGGCTCTCTGCCATGTTAGAAAAATTGTTTGGTAACTGTACTATGAACTTGATTTATATGACCACTACACGCCAGTTCCTGATTATATTTGCTCACGACCCATTTTTTGCAAAAATTTAAAATCTTTTTGTTAGTTTGTTTCTAACACATTTCATCAATCTCGGTTGTATAAAAAATGAAGAGTTCTTGAGCTAACCAGGAACTATTTTCTTTGCACAGGATCTACACCTCCAGGCCATCTGAAAGCGGAACCCTAAAAGATAATTTAGGTTTCATGAAACGGGTTCACAAGGATGATTAGAAGAATTCCGAGTCCAATCTGGTTTGTGGCTCCAGAGACCGGGTCATGTAATTAATCCGTGGGTATTCTTTTTGGTCAGCCACTATATATAAACAGCGAAAGAAGGTGATACATAAAATAGCAGATGGTGATCGAGTTTGGTCATTAGGAACAAAAATGAGTTTGTTGACTCGAAATGTAAAGCAAGTTAAATGCAGCCAAATAGGCATCTGGGTATGCTCTGCCTTCTGGACCAGTAGAACCTTTTATTTTGTCAATTCTTTCTAAGGAGAAGTTCTGTGTGTTGATGTTTGTAATCTGTTTGTATTAGAACCCTTCTTTGTTTTCATCATACTTAAAGATGGTTTCAGTAAAGCTGATTTGTGACACCCATTTGGCCCCTTTTGGATACTTGGATCTAGAGTTTCCCAGAGTTGGTAGTACTTGAAGACTTGTGATCATAAATAAGGTCAAAAGAAAAATGGATTAGTTGGGAAGTCGGCATCATGATTATGTGTTTGGATTCTTGCATATGCATTTTGCTGGTTGTAATCTAAATGTATGGAGCCTTGTGCAGAGAATCTTAGTCAATGGTCTTTATGTGTGCCCACTTGTGCTACCTTTTTCACGATAAGAAAGTGATCTTAGATGTCTGAAAAAGTTTCTCCCTTTTTGGTAGCCACTTTAGCATTGGTTGAAAAGTTGATACTTCTTCTACTTTGCCATTTCAAATCACTAATTCAGAAAAGCTACAATCAAGTCTGGAACGATATATATTTTCAACATAATGAATCTTGGAAACCATATGGAGAAACAAAGAACAAATAATTGGGACTATGTTTTACTCATTAGAACTAACAAAGAGAACCGATTCGGCTACTTTTCATCTTATCTTATTCGTAATCCCGCGATCCTCCCATGGATTCCTCACCGTCTTCTTGGTGGTTCTGCATAAATGTTATCAAGTTATTAAGACGATATTCTTGCAGGAGAGAAGATGTGAAAGATGAATCTATCTTTTTGAATTATTTATACCTGCAATTTTGTAGCAACTTCAATGACTTCAGCAAGTGGTGCCCAGTCTCCAAAGTTTCGCTCTATGAACTGGTAGGCAACTCCACTTCTTCCTTTGCCAACCATAAACAGTCCACCTTTTATTTCGCCTTCCCCTTTGAAGTTTTGCTCGATTCCCATGGCCTTTGCACGCTTGTAGTTTGCACGAGCTCGAGGATTGAACAGAAATCCTGATACGAACTTGTCCTTAAGCAGTGACCCTCCACCAAGAGCTTTGAAAAAGCCCATGTTCTTGTCAAGGAGTACAACACCACCCCAATATCTGGGCCAGAAATCTCTTACCTGAATTCATCATCAGTTAATCAAGAATCAATTTTAGTTATTACCCATCATATTACTTCAAGAAATTAAGTTAGCCCAGTACCTCTGATTCTATATGTTCATGTAGAACTGCAAACATATTAATCCCTAGTGCATCAAATATGGGCTTCTTTGAATAAAGTTTGTGTGCTTCAGCTCTGCACATGATGCATCTATTCCCAAATTCAAGTTAATATGATAGTTCTTTTAACATATAGACATATTTCCAAATATTATATAAATTAAGAAGTTACCCGGGCCGACGGATGCAAAGGAGTAGTGATGGTTTGTCACGCCACATGTCTGAAACTCTCATGGGTGGTGTTTTCAATTTGACCAAACGCTCCATTCCAATCTTATACTCTGGTGTTAGTTTCTGAACTGAAATATTCTCAATAGTAGAGTATGGAGCCACATCATCAACAATTGGAGGAGGCTGTATACAACCACATGCTCTAGGCTCATCAGGCAAGGCAGCCACAATCCCTTTAAAGATATACCCATCTTTTATCTTGAAATCAGCAATGGATTGCTCAATGGTTGCATCATAAGCGATAGTACTTTGTGTTGACATAGCCTGCAATTTTGGTTTTGCAGAAATGGAAGGAGTCTTGAACATGCTACTGTTCCGGGAAGGTGGGGCCATTGGTTTCCTTGCTGGGAGAGAGAATGATGCTGGCAAAGGATCAGCTTCGCATTGTGAGGTTCGGTCCATGAAGCGTGCCATGTGTCCTCTTTTCATGCCGAATTGAGCAGAAAGATCTGTGGTGCCCAGGTTTAAAAGCTCTGCCAGGCATTTTCCTGAGGCTTCTAGCTTATCTGCATATTGCATTAGTGTTCGATCATGCAGGTATGACCTGATCTCTAATGCATCCTTCAGTAAAACAAAGAAAAGCTCTTGGATGTTACTATAGAAGTGATTAGTATGATGATTATGGAAAGAGAAGAATAAATTTGCTAAAAGTTAGGCTTTCTTTTCAGATAGCATAAAGGATGGAGATAAAATTGCAAAATATGTCATATAACTTACCTTTTGTGCTTGAGTCATATTAATTGCAGTCATGTCTTCTGTATTCATTATCTTCAAGGTTGGTACATCATCCCAACCATCATCTAACAGCTTTGGAAGAAGTTTCTGTAGAGACCCAGTTCCCACAAAATCCTCCATTGAGAAAGAAGCCATCCTCTCCTGGAGTAAAGAATGTGAAAAACAAGTTGTACTTATCAAACTTGATCAAATAAGTTTATAAGCCTAATTAGCCTCTCTGAGTGCCAAGAGCCACCTGATTGTATCATATATAGCACTTTAGAACAACTGAAAACATCTGTACTTTCGTCAAAATCAATGGTGTTTGGATTATGCTGCCGCCTGCCGGCCAATTAGAGATAAAGGGGTGTAGATGCAATTGAAAATGATGATTTGGCGGGTTTAACAAATGGATTTGTAACAAGTTTTCATGCACACGTCATGGTGGGCAGGCCAACAACCATAATATATTTGATGTAGAATATAAAGAAAAAGTCTCTAGTAATGAGTCACTTCTAAAGAAAAGGTCTCTAGTAATGAGTCTCTTTCATCTATGCTCTGAATGTTTCAAATACGGCTCCTGTTAACGAAATAAACAACACATCAAATCCATTAAAAATACAGCAAATGAGATAGCAGCAGAAGATATGTTTCCAGTTTAGGCAATCATTTCTAGGAAAGGAAGTAGTTGTTATGCGGGTAGATATAGACATAATTGAATAGTGTCTTTTTGGCGAAATAAGAACAAGATTCTTCAAGAAAACTAGTGCTTTCTGGGAAATATGAAGCCAGTCAGAAAATAAGAAATCCATGGGTGTTTCAACCCAAGCATCCAGGAGAAAGCAGCATTCTTGCTCAGATTTTGAACAGTTCTAAGCAGTGATATTATATACAATGCATAAAGTGATTAGAACTACATGATAAAGTTAGGCATCTTATTCAAGTGCCTCAAGTATTCTCAGCCATCAACCTAATGTCTCCATGGCCATGATGCATAACATTGATTAATGTAGCACCCAAGAACCTGTCTTGTGATATTTCTGAAATTGAGTTATCTTCTCCTTTCCCCAACAGTTTCTCTAAAATCCAGAATGATTTTTGCCACACGGACTCATCTTTATGCTCCTTCACCACATTCAGGACATGGTGTATGGCCTTCTCTTGGATCAATATACCTACACCCGTGTCCAAATCGACTTTCATCTAGCAATGTGCATATAGCTGATAATGCAGCTTCCACCACCTGAATATTCTTATGGTCAAAGCAGGCCAACAAGTTCTGAACTGCTTTTGCTTCAAGCAAACAGAAGGTCTCTTGAGAAGAACAAGATCCCTTGTGAACTGGGCAGAGCAGGTGAAAAGCCTGAAAGCACACCATTTATTGTCACCATTTGGACTAGAGCAGGTGAAGCTGTCTCCACCACATAACCTTTGATGTCATCATCATGTCCAAGAAAAATTTCCCCAAGGTAACTTGCCATCTTCATCTCTTCATCGCCTGTTTGATTTCGTATCTTCATATTATTTACAGATTGACAGAAGGGATTGAAAATTTTATTATACACTTGAAGCGAATGCTGAATACCTTCAAGAAAATGATGTGCAGGAGGGGTTGCCAATGTCCATTTTCTGCCATGCACTTGATGTTACTTGGTGATCTCTCCAAGTTTTTCAAGATTTATCAGCTTTCTCTGAAGCAAATGCATCAACGGGCTGTCTGTACTTTAGAGTAATCAGCATCAAAACTCCTCCAGTAACTGAACCGATTTTATCATAAAGATGGCGACTTTTTGAAAGATCAACCAGAAGAAGCAAAGCCAAATGGCTAACACATTTAACTGTACTCGATAGTTGTATTATTGCAGATAAGTCTATTGTCCTGGCAATCATTTCCTGCAAAAAAAGATTCAATTTTTCTTCATAACTTATACATGTATAACCTGTAAAGTCTAGGAATCAGGATGAAATTTGAGATAGAAGTCTACTTTTCCTTCATCATCATCATTCTCAGCCAACAGTCTGAGTAATTCAAGAGTTTCAAATGTCAAGTCTGTGTCTTTTTGTGCCAAGAATGTTCCAAGCAGTGGTTTGACACCGACGGCACATATCTCTACCACATTATACTGCTTTTTCTGAATAAACTCTGCAAATTGTGTAATGCTTCAATAATCATGGTCTTATTACTGGCTAAAGACAGAGCTGACCTTGCAAACCTTATGCTAGCTTGTTCATTTCCTTTCTCCCATTGCTTGATTGTTTCCATTAACGCGATATTTCTGTTCAAAACTCGACTGATTATCTTCTTGCCTGACTCGGGGAAAATAATATCAGCAGTATCGCCAAACTTCTCGTACCACTGTTATTGCTGCTCTCTCACAGGTGACACCTGTTTCTATCTCAACAGGATCGTTCATTATCTTATCTGTCAATGGACAAAAAAAGATTTCATAAAGTGGCTCCAAGTATGGAGCCAACTCTTGAGAGTTCATCAGATCAGTCGTTTCAACCAATTCCTTATCCATGGAACTCTTGAAACCATTAATAGAGTAAAGATCTTTCTCCTTCTGAAAAAGCATATAAAGAATTCAAAACAAGATCAAAATCCAAGTTTTTGAGGGTTGCAAATGAAATAAAAACACAATAATCCAAACACATTGAAGGGAAGAAAATGGTCATACCGAAAACCAATCAGAGCTCTGGCTGCTGCTTGGCATATTGCTTTCTTTTCTTCCGAGTTCTGTAACTTGTTTGAAAATTTGGTCCCAACTGTATAGGGACTACAGAGAATTGATTAAGTCATCTGGTTTAATGTTTTATTAAGCATGAGAGTAGGCCTGGAATTGATCTTCACTCTGCATATTTCAAATGTCTGATGTCATGTGAGTGTGATCCTTAATCAGTTTATGATAAAAGGAAGTAAGGAAGCAGTAACTCTTTGTGCATGTTGCCTTTGTAATTCCTTACTTAATCAGCCACCCCCATCACTGTTTCTTTGGTAATCCAGAAGATTTCAAGGTTCCATAAAGATGTGATCTTTTATGTTAAATGTGAAATTTGTCGACTTTGGGTGTATAAGTCTCCATATATACTTATTTATTTGGAGGGTGGCATGGTTTTAACAAGTTCGATAGATTCTTCAATGCAGAATGTATAATTTCAGATACTTCTTTAAACGCCCACGATCATAGGATTAGGGAAAATGCTTTATAATGTCGATTGGAGGATTCCTACTTCGTTTTTGGTATCCAGATAGATATTTAGGAGTCTGGGTAGAAATCAGTAGTTAATCAACTAAAAAAATATGAACGATGCACCGAGGTGTCATAAATGGTAGCAGAGGATTCATAATTAGTTAGGGCTCGATCAATCAATGTAATCTTTTTGTGTGCCGGTGGGTGTTGGTTAACAAAACAATGCAAGCACGGATGTAAAAGAAAATCGAGACATAACCTTGGATCTTGAAGCTCCTTGGTTCATCAATGGCTGCCGGTACTCTGATTTTCGGGTGAAAAGGAGCTCTAAGATCCGTTTAATACGAAATGGGCTTTTATCTTCTGTTGTTGGGCCGAGGAAAAGAACCCATAAAATAAAATGGGCTAAGCCTGTTCAAATCTTCAAAACAAGTAAGGCCCAATCATAATTAGCCATAAAAATCACTGGTAGTCTTGCAGGACTCGAACGTAATTAAGCGTTTCTGAAGGTATTAGATTGATATTTGACTAGAATTAAATGACTGAATATATATCGAACAAGAACTAGGGTATGAACACTTGAGTTTGGTCGTGATTTCAAGAACTTGACTAAATTGGAGATCGTAGAAAAAACTTATGCTTAATAAATTAAGAACGAGCCCGGATTCCTTGTTGCGCAAGTCATAGAGAAAGCAATCCAAAGGTCTTGGTTCTCTATGGTTGACATTTTTTGTTGCTCTGATTAAGTTAAAACAAGAAATATAACTCGAATGAGTCTATTTTCTTGATGTTTAGACAAAGGCCAAATGTGAGGAAACCAACCAATTGACTCAAGGTGCGGCATGACGTATTTTTACTAATATTGGATGGAATATCCTAAACATKTCATCCTAGACTTGTAGAAAGCAGGTAGATTTTACGATAACGAGACAAAAATACAGAGAATTTGAAGTGTAATCATTATGACATGAAGTGTGATGGTCTGATGAGCCATGCATGAGGTTCGTTATATGAACCATATGGCACTAGACTATGTTGTTTATACGAGCTTCTTGTTTGGTGATTGTGTTTCGCTATGCAAGCACTTTGTGTGGTAATGAAATCAGCAATATTCTCAAAGCATGATTTTGTAAGACAATTTGTCTGATCACGTAATTTCGATTTATTGTTTTAAAAATTGTTGATGTCAACATACATTAAAACCATGATTATGAGAATGTCTAAAATTTGTGCCGGTTCATTTATTTGAGTTGGTTCTTGATGACTGTTTATCGATGGAATACAAACATAAACAACACAAATAAATTGGCCTTTGTGGACACTACGCTTTGAATTGTTTTCTATTTTCGTTTATTTATTAAGTAAAACAAACACGTAATCAGTTTATTTGTTATTCTAATATCATACAAGTATAACAAACAAACAAACCTCAACGTCGTAAGTCTACATCTAAAATAAAAACCATGCCAAATTGATTCCTTCCTTACTAAACAATATATTTGTATGTCTTAAGCCACTCTCAACCCCCCATCGTTGTTTCATATCAGCTGTCATATTGTTGGCCCTTCCATCTATCTCTCTCTTTTTTATCTGTTTTTAGGGGTCACAAATAATTGACTTTGTTTGACTTTTTTGGGATCCGTCGGAAATCCGTCGGAAATATTTCCGACGGAATTTCCGCCAGAAAAATCCGTCGGTGATGCCCTTTTTTTTAGTAGTGTCCAGTTGGTAACAAATAGTTTTTTTTTTTGTTAAAACAATATAAGTAACCAATTTTTAAAAGTTTGACGGTTTATATTGGTGAAAAAAAATATTTAAAAACTTAATCAATTAAAACGAAAAAGTTAAATGTTTTTGATTAAAAAAAATAGTAGGCAAACTTAATAATTGAACATGAAAATTTTAGTCATTAAAAATTAAAAATTCGTTGGATTGAATTTTTGTAGCTTTTATAAATGTAATTTAATATAAAAAGTAATAGATATATTTTTGAATAAAAACTTAATTTTATCACTTTAAACTATGTGTTAAAATATATTTTCATGTAAATATTAAAATACATATTTTAGAAACACAATTTATAAAAACTATTTGAGTTGGTAAGCAGTCACTAGCAACCGTAGAGATTGCCAGCGTGGTTCGCCATCATCTTGTACCTTATATTCAACATTGCCGTGTTGTATGATGAATGACGGTCAAATTTTATGTTTAAAGAAAAATA